CTATATTTACTTGTTGATTGACTGTCTTCTCCAGTAGAATATAAGCTCCAAGTGTCTGGCTCCTCCCTGTCTTATTCATATCACCTAGCCCAACCTCTGACACATGATAGGTGCTCAATAAATGTTGCCAAATGAAAGAGAAGGATGAAGAAAAATATATATTCATAAATAAGAGGTAATGAAAGATAAATGTATGCATAACTGATTTTACAGAAAGTTAACTATACCTTGTTGCTTGCATAATCTGGGGTTTATTTTTTAAAAGTAAGCCCCTGGAAATTTACCTTGAAGTGAATAAAACAAAAAGAGGCATTAATGGGTAAAGAGATAGGTAGATGGGTAGATATGAAATTAAAAGTTTACTAAGATGTTCAAGTTGAAATTCAGGTGCTGGCTCTACAGATGTTCACTGTGAAATTCTTTCAACATTCGTGTCTGTTTGCGTACTTTCATAAATGATGTTGAGAAAGAAAAAGTACCTGAGTATATTCCTGCCCTCCACAGAGTTTAAGTTCAATCTCCTATACTTTCTGCATCTTTAGGGTTGATAATTAGATTATTAGCAGGGAAATAGTCAAGAAAGTCCTTTATAATATACTGATTAAGCAATACCGATTGCTTAATTTGTATACTTACGTTTGGCATGATTTCCATGCATGAGAATTGTGCACTGACATGGTTAAGCAGAAGTTTGGATAACTACAACCCCTGGCTCTCTACTGCTATTCCTCCAGCCTGAGATCTGGATGCTCGTCCCAGGGGATTTTAGACAGTCAGACATGGAGGGTGACTCCTGGGTGTTACTAGTTGTAACAGGGGAAATCATTTTCTTGCTTGTGACTCATAAGCCTCTCATCTGTGGAAAGCCTCTCATCCTGTCATTGTTAAATGATTCAGTGTCTTTCTATCCTGTGTGACTCTATGGCCTTTCTTGCTTTTGTTTGGTCTAGGGCGGGAGGAACTCTCATTATAATAATAATAACCAGCTTCTGATGGGCGTTTCTGGCTTATGAAATGATTCCATGTTCCTTACTTCATTTGATTGTCCTGACTGTACTATGATGCACCTAGGCCTCCTAATATTATGCACCACACCTGTTGTACACATTGAGGCATGAAGTGCATACATGATCTGGCCAATTTCGTTGTAGAGTGTTAAGGTGCTGAAATTAGAATCTAGGTTCCTGACGTTGAATCCAGTCACTCTTACTTAACACGTAGCTGACAATGCGTGCAAATTCTCATAGCCTAATTTTGCCGAGAGGAGTACAGCTTTAAAGGCAATGGCGTTCAGGGAAGGTCATGTAAAGGCAGCCACAGGGAAGATGAATTTTCCTCTGGTTGAATTCATGCGGAGTCACCACAGAATCTCAAATCCATTTCTTCACCCTGTTCTTCCATGTTTAATGCAGTGTCTGTCCTTTCTGAAAGGTTAAATCTCAGCTTGACTACTCCCAAGTGAAATTTCTCTGAGCTCGATACTCTGTAGGGATTGGCGAGTAGAAGAAATTAGTCCACAGGGACCCTTTCCAAGTTGCCACTCTGCTTGTGATGCACACTCCTCCCGCCTTCCCCTCCCAGGGCGCTTTTTCTTGCTGCGGTAGAAAGATAACTACCTTCATGCTAATTCCATGAGCTTCTTGCATGCTATTAGAGATATTCCAGAAATGCCAAATGCCCACGTCTTCTAATGCCACTTAATTCTCCTTTACTTTGACTTTCCTGACATGGAAATTAATGAGCGTTGGCTAGGGAGTCAGACAGCCCTGGTCTGACACTGTATTCCACCTCTTCCTACCTGTGACATCGGGCAAGTTGCTTGGTTTTCTTAAGCCCCAAGTTTTTCATCTATAAATTGAGATTAATTATAGGACTTTCCCCATGGGGCTGTTATGAGGATTGAATGAATTAATGCCCATGAAGGGTGGAGCTCAGTACTTATTGCTTGGTAGATGCTCTTAAGTATTGGTAAGCATTGTAATAATTCTGAATTAGAATATAGGAGTGTTTTACACATATTAGATAAAATTTACCTTTCCATCTAACCAGAAAGAATTACATTTTCCTTCCTTCCTTCCTCCCTTCCTTTAGCGCTTCTTTACTGAGTGTCTCTAACATGTCAGGCAGGCCCTACTCTCATGGTTATTGCAGGTGAGGGTGGAAGACAAATTAATAAAGGAATTACACAAATGAATGTAAAATTATACCTGTAGTAATTGCTACAGAGTATATCACAGGAGGCTATGACTTAGTGGAGCCGTTTCCCTGGGATCTGCAGGTGAGTGAAAGCTAACCAGATGAGAGAGTGAGAGCAGGGAGGATGGGACGGAGACAAAGAGGTTCAGACACTGGGCTTAGGAACAAAGACCCTGCGACAGAAGGGACTGTGATGACTCAAAAGATGCCATTGGGGCTGAAGCAGACGGAGCACGGACTGGAGTGATGCAGGATGGGGCGGGGTGCATGGGAAAGGGCCAGTGCAGGAGTTCGTGGGCAATCTTCCAGGTTGGTCTTAATCCAAGAGCCACGGGAATCCTTTGAAGAGTTTCCGGTAGGGCTGTAACATAACTCTCAGGAGTCATTTAATTTAGTGAGTCAGAAGCCTGGCCTATTATTAAGCCATCTTCTTTCATATAACCATATATAGCAGAGCCCCATAGTATGGAGGGCAGAAGTGGACTGACCTGCAGAATGGGTCATCTAAATCCTAACTCATTGCTCAGCGACCTGGGGAATTATTAAAGTAACAGGTCTTGGTTCTCCTCCTCTGGGAAGCTTATTGAGCAAGTGATAGAAATATAGTCACGAGCCTTACCAGGTGCAAGACTTTTTTTCTAAGATTTTTATTGGGGAATTGGGGGATGGGAACAGCACTGGGGAATTGGGGGAAGGGGACAGACAAGTTGCTGTCGTTTTGTTCTTCAGTCTAGTTGTGGAGGACGTTGCTTCACTGGCCCAAGTAGGCACCATCATTGCACTCTTCCTGGGCGAGGCAGGTCAGTTGCCGGCTTCTGGACGGCTGCTCATGGTGGCTGCTGGCCGCTCATGCTGGCTGCCAGCTACACATGGTAGCCCATGGCAACCCACTGCAGCAGGAGCTGCAGCCTAGCCATTGCTGGCAACTCACAGCAGCCCAGCTCCAGGTTGAGCAGTTGTTCAGCCTCTTAGCTGTAGAGGGCAGTGTCACTGGCCCTCCTATGTGGGATCCGAACCGGGGCCCTCTGGCATCCCAAGTCAGCTCTTAACCAACGCGCCACTTGGCCAGCCCCAGGTGCAAGATTGATGACAGACTTTGCCTTCATTGGCCCCTTCCCATGCACCCCAACTCCGTTTGGGGGGCTCTAAAGTGGGCTAGTTTCAACCTCGAGGGAGGAATACCTTTGAGGTAGGAAGTGTGTCCAGGGAGAGCTCTGGTTGCTCTTTCTAGTCACCAGGAAAACAAACGATGCTTGAGCATCTCTGGGGGTTGGACCAGCTGACACAGAAAAACGACTACTGTGCCCCACTCCCACTCGCAACCCTGATTTCAGGCAGGAGAAATCATGTTTAGATCCAGCAGTGGGAAGGGAATCTGGACTCTTGTCCGATCCATCCAGGTCATACATGATGAAGAATCATGAAGTCCATGAAGCTTTGCTTCCTTGAAGTCCCTACCCACTTCCCCTACCTACTGATATTGTGACCTTTTCAATGCTCAGTCCTCCCAGACGACCAGCTCTTGTTTTCTCAGCTTTGACATGAATGGCTAACCCCTCGGACCTGTGAGTAATTGAACGTGTTGTCCTTCACTGCCCCACTTTGTAACACCTGGGCCCTGCTCCCTCTGCCTCATCCCCGGTGACTTTTCTCAAATCATCACACTCCCTTCTGCCAGGGAGTCTTTGCTCCAGAACCCAAATATTAAACAAAACAAAACAACCCAAAAGAGTATTTTGCAGTTTGGGAGAACAGAAGGACATGCTGCCTGGTAGAATTTCAGGCAACAGATAAGCCCATAATGCTGACTTGCTTGGAGCAGGATGGAGGCTGTGCTGTTGTGTTTCCCCTCCGCGCAGTTAAGGGCTGCTGTGACCTGCCCCCCATGAATACATGAGCAAAAGCACGGACACTGAGCATCAGTACGCCACTGCGAGTGTGCACGCATCCTTCTAGCACTGAGACACTTCTAAGACATGCTTAATTTGGTGTTAAGCTTGAAAATGCCTCGACACAGCCTGGGGTCTGCCTTATACAAAACAGATCCCTTTCCTCCAGGAGGGTCACCCAATAATGAGGTTTGATAGCTCTGCTGTGGCGGGTAGGGATTAGGCCAACAACTCTTATACTCAAGGGCAGTATATTCTTCAGCAGAGCACAAGTCACCTTTAAATACAGAACATTAACTTGCTTGATCAGTTGTCGTTGGGATTGAATGTAGGAAGCAGTTTAAGAAATTTTATAACTTGGAAACATATATACACCTCAATTACACATATGCAGTATGATAATGAATATAAGAAATGAACCCTGAAATATTTAAAGAGATTTTAATGTTAATTATACTCAGTTTTTAAAGAAAAAGAAGTTCAAACATTTAAAACAGGAATAAGCAAAAAAATCAGTGCTTCAACAGGAACTTCTAAATACACGAATTCTCTTCTAAGAGCAATTGCACTGTTTTTCGAAAAGTGCCCCATGAGAGGTCTCTGCTTGGCCTATTTCTTTCTGTGTCCACTTCATCAGTAAAGCTTCCCCATGGCTCCTGTTTATGTCCCATGACTGACCTGAGTTGACTAAGGTGTATTGGTAGGACTAAGTTCAAGGTCCTGTTGAAAAACTAAAATCATTGGGTTCCCATTTCCCTTTGCCACCCTGGCCGAAGCCATCATGCGTTTCCTCTTTAGGGAAGGGATGTGTCCTTGAAGTTCACCCTCCTGGCACCCTCAGGTATGCCAGTGGCGCGGACAGGTAGAGCTCTCACACATTCACCCATTCACCGGCCCCCTACAGAGATGGAGGCTGCCGTTCTGCATCATGTTTCGTAGTAAGTGTCCATCCACAGGGCTGCGGATTTCTTCAGCGCCCTGTGGGAGGAGTAAACAAAATCATCAGGAGGTGAGCTGCTCCATGTAAAAGGAGCTACTTCATGGAACATGTAATCTTTTACATGATTCAGGCCATGCTGCCATGTTCAGCTAGATCTGAAAATCGTCTTTCTCTGTTGCCCAGTGGAGGGAGTCAAATACACTGAATTCTTATCTAGCAGGTGAGTTCACCTTTCCTTTATGGATGAGATTGAGGTTTTCTTGCGTTTATTCTCTTCGTACCCCAAACCATCACCTACTCTTTTCTCTAGTCTTAAAAAAAAAAGCTTCTCTGAGTTTCTATGAGATAAAGCATACAACTGTATATCGCCCCGTCCTATCTTTACCTTCCCACCCTATTTTATAATATGAAAGGTATTTTTCTAGGCTCTGGGGATACAGCAATGAATAGGAACAGAGGCCAGTCTTGTCCACGTGGAGTTCCTGGTCTAGCTTGGGGGACACATATTAAAGAATGTATTACCCAGTATGTTATTTAGTCATGGTTGTGATAAAGGTCATGAATAAAGAGAATGGGGTACTATAAGAGCATGTGATGGAGTTAGTCATGGGGGTCAGGGAGGACTGAGGGAAGGAAGAGGCATTTCAGATGGTCCTTGGAGAATGAATGGAAATTGACAACGTGATGTGAGGAGAGGTGATGGTTTGGAAGAACATTCTCGGCAGAAGAAACACAGTGGCAAAGGAAGTGATAAGGCAAAGGGCAGGGGGTTAAGTAGCAAACAAAGAGAGGCCAGGTATCTGGAGGGCAGAAAAGCAGGAGCGGAGTGATAGCGTCTGAAACTGGTGCACTCATCAGGGATCAGATCAGAATGGGCCAGGCCTTGTTGTCTGCATTCAAGATACTGTTGTGGTTTTTTCCCCCCTCATCCTAATAGGAAAAGAATGTTATTAAACCCAAGTCACTGGCTGTTAATTTGACCACCACGGGAACTGTGGATGCTTCCAGCTGACTGTGAATTTTCAGTTCCCTCAGGCTCACTGCTGTTGATCAGTCACCCCTGCCTGATTCATAGATTTATGTCCCACTGGACCCTGAAGGCATCTAAGTTTGCAACCCTGGACCAGATGATTTGAGAATCCCTCCTACCACTTAAGTGCTAAATCATGTAAAGGCTCTGGAGGGGATAAAAAGACACATGATACACAGCCCTGGTTTTAAGAAGCTTGGAATTTAGTGGGGCAGCAAGGCATTTTCACTAGGGAGTACCTAGAAGGCAGTAGATAGATGGTAAGAATTATTATCTTTGGGGTTGCTGATGTTGTTCCCTGTACTCTCACATCCATGCTGGGCAGACAGGTGCCCCTTGATGATAAATGGTTGTTGGGTGAATGCTTCACAAGCCAGTGAATCGTCTGGGAACCAGCAGTGATGGGAAATGAATGCTGTGAGTGGATGAGACTCTGTTATTACCTGACAATATCTCCAAATGCCTTCAACAAGGGCTTATTCACATACTGCAGTCCGTGCTTGGTACATAGTGACCTCACCAGAGGTGCCACCTTGTGATAATTATGGCGCGGCATAGTGGGGAACAGACTAGGGAAACAAGTGGGAGACATCAAACTTAGACCTACAGAGAAACCCAATGGACTTCTCTTTGACCCATTATTAAATAAAGTTATATCAACAATGCAGACCCAACCTTGACCTTGCACAATACCTGTACTCTGGGAAGTTCAAAAGTTCTTGCCAAGCACTCTTATCTCATCTCTTAACCCTTGGTAAGCCCTTGGTGGCAAAAAAAGCTAAGAAAATAAGTATTAGCTCCATCAAAAATGTTTGCATTTGGCCAGCTCAAATGAAAGTATGGGGTTTTCTACCATTCTGAATTACCTAGAGAGCTGGAGATATCCAACCTCCATCTCTGACTCTCTCTGTGTCTGTGTCTCTCTCTAGCCATCTAACTGCTGTATTGTGAGTGGGTGAATATTCAGTAGTCCTGGTACCTGGGGAAAGTCCTAGGATAGGACTTTCCTAAGGTGAGAAAAGATGGGTTCTTATCCAAGGTTTTCACAAACCAGCCAGATGACTTTCTTGGGTTTTTACCTCCTCTTTGATAAAATATGAATTATAATTCTGTCTTGTTTTGCTGAGATTTTAAAGGACGAACATGAGAGAAAGCATAAGAAAATTCCCTGAATAGGTATAAGAGCTCTTTTCCTCTCTGGCTATCACAGATATGGCTTAGATAAAGAGGACGTGGAAAATCTTCCCCCTGAAGATTCTGGAGAGATCAACTCCCAAAGTAGCATCATTTTCTCTTCTTTTAGGGCACGTCCATCTAACTGACCCATTGGTAAAGTATTTCCAGATGCCATTTGGAAATTGAAAGCAGGCGCTGGATTTCATTGATTATTTTGTGACCTCAGATCTAAATATATAGATACAGATGGGCATTTAAATTAAATTATAGTTAAGTTTCAACACAACTTGGTCACCCAAGTGCTATGATTATTCTTGGGTTTTGCCAACACACCAAATGCAAAGAAAACAATCAATTCCTAAATCAATAGGAATCTGGAAACTGAATCGCTGGCATTTTCCCAATATTTCACTCCATTTACTCACAATTGTTCTTCCTTCCTCCCTTCCTCCCTCCCTCCCTCCTTCCTTCCTTCCTTCCTTCCTTCCTTCCT